GACACTGTGTGCAACGATCTGCAACTTGAAGCCGGCAATTTCACTCGACTCAGTGTGCTGAGCAAAATGCACAACTACATAAGCAATTCTGCCACGACCTTCCAGGACTGCATGAACGTGGCTTGATAAATTTATCTGCGTTTATCCTCCCACTCATCAAACTCCGCACGCGATCTTGTCACGTGACTTCTAAAAAAACGTGCAAGCGTCTATACATAAAAAAAATTGCGAATAGGGTGCTCTAAGTGATTGACTTGAAGTAAAACGTAAATACAATATGCTGTATAAAATGCTAAGTTTGATGTGACGCTTTGCGAAATAAAATCTTAGCGGTAAACAAAGGGAAAAACCACACATCACTCCTAATTTGACTGTCTTCTTTTCTTTCTTCAGTTTCTTTGTCATCACCCTTCTAGTTTCTAGAACGTGAGCTTAATTAACGGTTCAGACAACCGCACTTCAATGGCAGTGAAATATGAGAATTCCAGGGAGCTCTGAATCACAGGTCTATCAACTCCCAAGTGCTTATAATGTTTTCAAAGCCGCCAAACTGTGAGATACCTTATAAACATAACGTGATCAGCAAAGTGTTCATTCGCTTAAAGTTTATTGCCGATTTCGCTCGTTTCATTCAAACAGTTCCTAGTGTCATTTGTTATACATCTAATTATCTGCAGTAATAAACATCCAAACAACTGATTCGGCCACCAAAGAAGGAGAACGTGAGATGAAGTTGTTTCCAAGACCCTAAGGTATTGGGATAAGGAGTAAAACCTAATGGCACAATAGGGTGGTCACATGAGAGTTGTGGCTGAGTTGAAAAGCAATGATTTTACAGTGCATATCGCTTCTGGTTTTTCTTCGTTCGTCTCTTCTAATTTGCGCTGCTTTTGCCTTTTACTGTGTTTTACCAACTAGCCCAGTGAAACCAGCTTTACAGATATACGACAAGAAGCAGCTATGCAAGTTATTTGCCTGGATTTTTACGGTACATTGGGTCTATAGTATGCCTATTGTGCTACCAATGCTCAGTTTCTCTTCTGCGAAAAATTTCAAGGCCACCTGAGCACTAGAAAACGACCCACTGAATGTAGTACCATAAGTGACGTTTGACCCCACATTCCCATTTTGTAGGAGCCGAAAGGGGAACTGTGATTTCGGGCACTAGACCGACGTGTAGGTAGACAGACACCACGCGACCATTGCGCGCAGGATAGGATGATGGCGTTCCTTTGATTATAGACACCACTAGCGAACCAGCGTTCCTCGTCTCGTGAATTATCATATGGGCGTGTGTGCTACAACTCACTTATTTTTTTAAGGTGTTCTACACCAGAGAATGGGCACCGGAGAGTGCGTATGAATGCGGCCTCCGAAATGGTCACATGGAGGCTTCTATGCTTCATTTTTCAATATATTATAGTCTTTCGGTCGTGGCAATGTTCATGATCACTAGAATCTGACAAGACACTCTATTCTTTTACCCAGGTACCTGTGTATGCATTACGTCCACTTGAATCTTAAAGGTTCGTGAGATGTTCAAAATACACTGCGTCAGGTAGGTGCTAGTGGCGATGCAAGGAACCAAGAAAACAGTTCACTACCTTAATAACGTTGGGTTATTAGGAAAATCACAGTTTCAACAAAGAAACGAAGCAGCGAGTCTGATGGCGATGTATTGGAATATCACACAATGAACAGAAAACAACTCGGCATATCACACGCACTGCTCAGGCACAAAGAAAAACAAAACAAAAACTCAAGAACATACACAGAGTGAGCGCGAACTGACAAATCTCACAGTTCGACAAACGCCTGCTGTTCAGAATGGTTCTAAAAAAGAACGCATAGGTAAACACAGGATGAGATGAAACTTACAACTGCCACAGTTATTACTGCTTTGAGCTACGAACATGATACTTGATTTTTGCGTTGCCAGGTATTTATATCGCTCATAGAGTCTTTTCATGTCAAACCGATTCTTACCCGTGTGCTCAGATTTGGGTGCACGTTAAAGAACCCCAGGTGGTCGAAATTTCCGGAGCCCTCCACTACGGCGTCTCTCATAACCATATGGTGGTTTTGGGACGTTAAACCCCACATATCAATCAATCAAACCGATTCTTGTTTATATCAGTTAATTAAACGACTACTATTACACCCAGTCAGTACGTGTCATGTAATTCATACCGTGCAAGACAGTTGACGGGTGATATTCTTGTTAGAGCCTGTGTTATACGTTTTTCACGGACTAACTTCACAGCATAGTAAATTTGATAAATGTAAAGCTAACCCAACTGCTACGAGAGTCCAAAATTGTAAGGGGTTGAATATTTAGATTCGAGGTGTGCTTTGCAGGACAGTATGCGAGGTCTATTTTCTGTCAAGTTTTCGTTGTCTGCTAGATAAAAACCAGAGCAAATATTCGATGATACATCGCCCACATAAGTTGTCCCATATCTACAGTTTATCTTACTATGTGATGAGCTCGGATTACTTCAGTCGGAACTGAACCTGAGCGTACAGAAGGCATGTGAACGTGCCTCGCATATTATGGCCTACCATCAAGTGTGAGGAGGGTACTGAGATTCCATTTCGTCATGCATTTGGGTGCAGTGAGGCTGAAACTCAATGACGATGAACAATAAATGCGGCGCTACTTTTGCGAGGGAGAGCAAGAAGTTTTAGTGCTATGAAAAATTTGTAGTAGGAAGCAAAGACGTTTTCTTAAATGTAGACAGAAAGGACATCCGTTTTAACCGATGAGCATGTTCAGAGAGTTGATGAGGCTGTTTGATAAAATTGTCGAGCCAGGGTTTCTACGTAAAGTGGTTCATTTCTCAAAAGTTTCTTGTCATCTCTTTTATTTATTGGAATGAAAAGTTAGCACTAATCACTCGGTGCGACGTGGGTTCTCAAGATGCTGACCAGCTATCGCAAAACACTGGGAACATGTGCCGTGTGAACGTTGCTCAAGTGCTATCATGAGTCTGAAAAGATGTTTTGGATTATTTGGTCAATGATCACATGACGTACACCTATTTTGAAACTGAGTACAGGAAAACAGAATCCAAACAGTGAGTCGCGAAACACGTTTATGACTCCATCCTCGTACAGCGGCACACTCGAAAGTTTACGAAGGCCAGTACAATACAAACAAGGAAGAACGTTGTCCTCGAGTGTACTTCTTGACGTTGTGAAAGTGGTCAGGAAAACGGTCTTTTTTGGGACTTTCATGCGTAAAATATTTATGTAGCCTCACGACAAGCTAATACAGAAAGAAAGCTCCTTGCAAATAGAAAAAGACTACTTGCGTAAAAAAAAAAACGTTCGCGTGCCTCTTAATCTGCTTTTATACAATATATAGCGTTCTGTCATGTCAATGCTGAACATACTTCGTTTACAGACACAGAGCCCGTATTGAATTCTTTTTTATGATGGCACACGGGGAGAGCCTGGTGCTCTGTTTTGGGTGGCGGAGTGCATGAGATACTTTTGCAATGTGAGCTTTTATGAGCTCACAACAATAGCCAATGTTTGTCGTGATGTGGTCCACCGGCGTATTGAGTGAAAGTACCCTCATTGAGAGTGAGAATGTTATTGTGCTGAAGAATTGCAAACATACTGCTGATAGTGTCGTGGAGCCTGGCACGCTTCCCGGAAAATTTCGAAATACTAACAGCGTTTAAGCCTTCAGTTGAAATAAGTGGTTGCAACAGCAATATTTCCATGAACAAAGCTTGAGGTTATGCCCAACTGCAGTACACCTGTAAAGTCTTCAAACCTTACAATGTTCCTGTTTGTACACAACAGATTAGGCTTTGGTTTGACTTTCTTTAAATTCATATGTTTTCTTACCTTGAGCCATGCCTAAGTGGCCTAATAATCTTTTTCTAACCAGCGCAACCACAAAAAAATAACGGAGCATCCTTCTTAATCGCTCTGTATAACACACAACGGGTTATCGTTAAAGTACCACAACACATGGTTCACGGGAAGACTTAGACAGTCCAGTTTACAGCATGACACGCAGTATACTCTTTCAGAGGGAACTCTTTCTATCCTCTCCCCCATTAGCACAATCTCGTTAGAGAAGGCAGCGGCGTTGATTTTAAGATGCCGGTGCTTTTCCGAAGGTAAAGGTGCAGTAGCTCGTCGTCATACGGCGGGAAATGAAGGGCATCGCTCTGTCACAAGAGCTGAAGGTGATAGATTTCTGTTTGTGTGCACAGCACGATGTATGATAACGGTGTCTATCAGGTTCGGTGTCTATCAGGTTAACGGTGTCAATCAGGTTAACGGTGTCTATCAGGTTAACGGTGTCTATCAGGTTAACGATGTCTATCAGGCTCGCCGTTCGTGCCAGTAATGATAACAACGCCATCAGCAAGAGCGGTGGTAAGCTACTATCAAAAAGACTCCATGAGACGAGGTTTCTGGTATGCCGCTATGTGAGACACGTGGTGATTAGAACTCGTAAATAATGTCAGCACCAGAGCGAAATCCGGAAAGTAAAATTTCTTGTCATTGGCTTCAGTTTTGAAATTTGAACACGAAGACCCTCAGTTCTCCTGTATCAATTTTTCTCATTCTCTTGTGCCTTTGTCTCGAAAATTACTAGCACACGCAGGCGGTGAAAAAACAGGCAGCCGTAATAACCTCACCGGCAGGGCTGCTTTATTAGATGCAGGACCTCACTAATCAGAGGGATAATCTCCTTTAATAAAATATGTTGCTTGGCTAGTTGGTTTAAAGCACTTTGTGATATAAAGCATACACTACATAACAATAATATGACCCACACTGCTCAAAATTACGCTGCATTCCAGCGCCAAAAATAACAAATAAGATAGTTCTAAATCTGTGCTATTGATTGTTGGTAAGCTTTTGCTCATTCACTGTAAATAACTGACCTATTATATTCATTATTCGCGCAAATAATGTCCGCATAATCCTGTGATCTTGCTACAAGAACATTGTCACACTACTTTTCACATATGTTCCTTTTTTAAGACATATTTATTCTGAAAAGTTGCCCAAGATACGCTTTGCACATTCCGAAGAGTCCTCAACACATCGCTTGTATAAAAGGAAATAAATGTGCGGTTATAGAGAAAAATTTCTTCATAGACTTATCACACACACAAAAAATCCCCTACTTTTATATGTACCTGACAGATATGAGCTAGAGTGCCGATGCCTTTCGGCTTTGAGGCTAACTAAAGCATTGAGGGCCATTGTCCAATGCAGGAACGCTGTTCTAATAAAATAGTTTAATTGAATTATCGCTTAAAAAGCGCAATAAGAGCAGCTTCAATTCGAGACTTTCTTGAGTGTAGTATAGGTCCCGCTTTTCGTGTAGACAACTTCATAGTCCTTGGGAGTCCATGTGCATTACTTGTGGCACCTGAACGACGTCAGTTCCATGTAGTTGTCCCATGGACGCTCGTAGATTATTGCAGTGCAGGCTGCAGACGCCTGTAAGAAGATCGTCATAATATAGACCAGACGCAATTGGCGAAATGAAGAAACTAGTGCGGTTCATGGGTTTTGCGCTCCGCGTAAAGAGTGCTTAAAGTAATTCTTTAGTTCGCAGGTTAGCTGGTCCCCCCCAGATACGAAATCTTGCCCTGCTTAAAACAGCACATTGTGCGTATGAACTCCGTTGAACACCTAGCCGCTACGTTGTGCAATCGACCAGTCGTTGCCGAGAAAAATAATTGCATGATTGGCTATTCATCAGCACAGACATGGGCCTGAAGTTCGACCTACGTTCAACCAATGACATGAGGTCTGTTTCAGCTCAAAACAATAACACTCTAAGCGCAATCTCTATGCTGTTGAAAATATATAGCAATCAAGCGGCGTTTTTACAGACGGTGAACATTTCGATCGTTCACACACACACACACACACACACACACACACACACACACACACACACACACACACACACACACACACACACACACACACACACACACACACACACACACACACACACACACACACACACACACACACACACACACACACACACACACACACACACACTCACGCACACATATATGTATATATGTGTGTGTGTGTGTGTGTTTGTTTGTATATGTATACACAAACAAACATTATATATATATATATATTTATATCTATATATATATAAATATATATGGTGTGGTGAAAATCAATGTATCCGGTGGAAAATGCGGTAGAAAAAGAGGTCGACAAACGTGCGAAAACACAAGTTTTACATAACCAGTAACACTTGTGTTTTCGCACGTTTGTCGACCTCTTTTTCTACCGCATTTTCCACCAGATCCATTAAATTTCACTTCACCATATATATATATATATATATATATATATATATATACATATATATAAAGTACGACAACTTGCTGCCTAACGAATCAGACACGAAATGCATAAATCAACATTGCAAGTGTGCCTTCGTGCTAGAATAGCCCTCAAGGGTATGACACTCTCCCTCCAACCAGCCCCTACAAACCTAGACGAACACGACCAAATAACATGGACGAATTTCCTCCTTGAAGCATCTCTTAAACTAACAGAAATCACTCTCATTCATAGTGATGAACAGGTAAAGAAACTGGTCGCTATGACCAAGATCATTCTTCGCCACAATACTTTATCGAACGAAGAAATCACCCGGCTAACAGAATTTGAACGGAATAAATACCAAGCCATCGTGACCACAAAAATTCATAAACTCATGTGATACCATGTGCCCAACCTCCCATTTCTTGAGATTGTTCATCATCACTACAACACCACCACTCAGGAAACCACTAACGGTACAAACGAGCACCCATCTATGAACACACCCTATGATACTGTGATTGTAAACCTATCGGTCACGAGTTTGTCACCTGACGAAGATAAAATGCTATCTAAAGGACTAAGATTTTGCCCGACCACAAAGTTTTTCGATGAGTTCCACTTCCTCCGAGACCTCGGCAACTTCGCTAGAAGCCTAAAGTTGCGCGAGTATTTCTTGGACAGGCCTTCTAACCGCGAAACAATTTACCAGTCGTAAACAAATGAGTGGACACCGAATAGTAATCAAGACAAGTGCCTGGACCGTTATATCACATATCACCACAGTATAGAAAGATATAGTTAGTACACGAATATCACAGACAAAAAGTAAAGCGAGAAAACTTGGTAAAATCTGAAAAATTCAGTATGAGAAATCTGGCATCTAAGACAGACATAACAATAAAACCCGCTGAAAAAGAAGGAGAAATTGTAGTCCTTAATACAGCCAATTACTTACAAGAAGCATAGTGCCAACTAGACTCAAAATTTTACGAACGCCTCCCAGGTGATCCGAGAGACGAATACAAACGTATTGTATCAACAGAACTAAAGAACTGTTGGATGCAAAAACATAACCAGCACTGACCACAAACTAGTGTGAGGAGCGTACCTTCAGTCCAGGTCGCTTCTACATGCTCCTAAAAATTCATAAACCCGGTAACCCAGGTCGACCAATCATATCAGGCATCGGTACAATAACTGAACCCATATCAGGGTACGTGGACAAACTAATAAGCCACATTCTATGCACCTCACGTCGTACATAAAAGACACCACATATTTTATTCGAGACATCGCAGGTGTGTATGTGCCGAAAACTTTTGCTTGGTTACTCTTGATGTCTCTTCATTGGATACAAATAATTGTCACGATCACGGCGTAGCTGCGTTACAAAACATGTACACAGAGCCAGGTGGCGCTGTATGGTCGGGAACAATGTATTAGAGAACGGAAGGATACACAGACCACAGACATCCTAAAGGTAAAAAGAAGAAAAGGGAGAGAGGGGGGAAGGGAAAGGAAGAGTGAAAGGGGGCACCCGGGGGAGTCCCTCTTATATTCCATTTTTTCTCTTTTCTTTCTCTTTTTTCTTCTCTTTTCTGTTTTCTTTTTCTCCCTCTTTCTCTCTCTCTCCTATGATTGAAGACTGTATAAAGCTGAGCACCAACAAACCAACAAACTGTCCCCTCTGGCTGAAACGTCGAAATAAATAATAAACCTTGTTGTGAATGCTCACGGACATTCTACTTGACTATATATATATATATATATAATATAATATATATATATATATATATATATATATATATATATATATATATATATATATATATATATATATATATATATATTATATATATATATATATATATATATATAAGAGATCCAGCAGACAGTAATGCCAAGAAAAGTATCGAAGTAGTTAGATGAAATGGTAATGTAAACGTGAAGAAAGAAAACTGTGTAAAAAGACAACTTGCCGTGGGCAGAAACAGAAGCTGCGACCTTCGATCAACACCAAGTGCAGGTTCCTGGCCCGGCAATTCATCTTTTCACCAACTTTTTTTCTTCACAATTACATTAAAATTCGGTCTAAGAACCTCCCCTATACTTTCCTTGGAATTAATGTCTGTTACATCTCATTGATATTGTGTCAAATACGGAAAAACGAGCCCTTAAGTATACACTTATTTGCTTGGTTTATTAACGGTGGTCTCCTACTGGCAGACTTGGCCCCGCCGCGGTGGTCTAGTGGCTAAGGTACTCGGCTGCTAACTTGCAGGTCACGGGTTCGATTGCCGGCTGTGGCGGCTGCATTTCCGATGGAGGTGAAGTGTTGTAGGCCCGTGTGCTCAGATTTGGGTGCACGTCAAAGAACCCCAGGTGGTCGACATTTCCGGAGCCCTCCACTATAGCGTCTCTCATATTAATATGGTGGTTTTGGGACGTTAAAACCCACATGTCATCATACTAGCAGACTTGGTGCTTTTAGGAGGTATACTAAAGACTATTGGTCAGCTGACAGCTCGTAATTGGTTCACGTGCTACGTGACGCCAAACAGGCTCATAAAGAGTGAGCCACACTTGCTGATGTGTCTTTCTGAGGTGGTGTTGACTGACACTTCCACGTTTAATTCACATATATACCCAACCAAGGGGCAAGGGCGATTGTCGCCGTGGTAGTTCAGTTGCTAGAGCACCGAAAGCGTTGATTCGAAGTTCGCAGGTTCGGTGTCTAGCCATGCCAAATTTTCTTCGACCCACCTTTCTTTATTCATATTTACATTACGATTACGTCTAATAACTTCCCCTAAATACTTTCCTTGGCGCTATTGTCTGTGACATCTGCAATATTATTTTGTCAAACACGAAAAAACGACGAGCCTTTACTTCTCTCTCTCTCTCTCTCTCTCTAAATATATATATGTATATATATATATATATATTGTAAGCACAATATCGACAACGTTTGACCTACATCTTCATCTGTATATAATCACCATCACGAAAAACGTCGTCGTCGTTTGATGGGTTGATCAGGCAATTCGGCCTAATAAAAGCCGTCGAGACTCCAACGCTGCTACTGTCTTGCGGAGTGGTGGAAGTGCTTTGATCCCCAAGTCCTCTCCGACGTCAAGTTCCCCTGGAGCTTCGTTCGGGTCGCTGCTTGCTTCCTCTGTCCGCTGTCATGGCTCAAGAACCGCTGCCCGGAACATCCAGCATCCCTGTCCAACAAACCATTCCTGCGTGGATCGTCAACGCCCGGCAGCGCGACCCATCCATCTTCTGTGGTCCTCCACGCGACGACGTCGAGATATGGCTGAAAGAATACGATATGACCAGTGTTTATAACCAATGGAATGAGCCTCAAAAACTTCGTCACATAGCCTTCTATCTGTCCGATGTCGCGAATTCCCGGATTCCCGGATTGGCGTACTTTTGCTCAACAAGTCCGTATGATTTTTGGAAAACCGAACATCCATTCCGAAGTTTCGAAACGAAAGCTCCATGGGCGTGTCCAACCTCCCGGGAAACGTACACTTCGTACATTAAAGACGTCCTTGCCCTTTGCCACCGCGTGAACTCGGCGATGACAGAAGCTGATCGTGTTCGCCACATCATCAAAGGGATAGGCCATGTCGCGTTTAACGCTCTGGCTGTTAAAAACCCCACCACCGTTGAGGACGTCATCACGACATGTCAGCATCTTGATGAACTCCAAGCCATTCGATTGCACCCAGACTACCCAGACGCCAGTGACAGTTGGCCTTCCTCGGATGCAGATTTTCGTGCGCTGATTCGCACTCTGATTCACGAGGAACTTCAAGCGCAAGGGTTGTCATGTGCACCCGCCCCTCGGCCTCACTCTCAATCTGCTGGTCTGTGCGACATCATCAAAGAGGAGCTCTCATCCATGGCTGGCACTTTCCCATCGAACACTACGGCGCCACCAACACCACCCATGACGTATGCGCAAGTCGCTGCCATGCCACCTGCCTTGGTTCAGCACGCGCATCCTGTTCCTGCGCAGTCCAACGTAGCAGCATTTGCACCACACTCGCCTGTCCCAGCGCCAGTACCAGCGCCTGTGACAGCTCCAGCACACTACGCCCCGCGGCGCTCGCCTCGCCCAATAT